GAGGTTGTTTCAGTGTTCGATCTGTGAGTTAGCCTTGCCCTGGCTTTGATCAGCCTAGAGGTTGTTTCAGTGTTCGATCTGTGAGTTAGCCATGCCCTGACTTAGATCAGCCCAGAGGTTGTTTCAGGGTATTGATGCATTTTAAAAATTTGAGAGTTTTCTTCTGAAGTTCTCTTCTCTGTCAAATTTCAACATCTAAATTTTAACCTGTTCAGACTTGGAACAAAGTGTTGCGCTCTGTAACAAGGACGATTTTACTCATTTACAACATTGTATATAATTGTCGCCATTTATGTATATATTTCATCAGGTTACTCCCGAATATTTACAAGGTATTTGTATGAGATTATTCAGCAATGCAACACATGAATCCATTGATGTCACAAAACCAGGAACGGTGAGTACCTTTCCGTAGTTATTGTAAGTTATTTTTCATGGAATTGACTTACAAATGTACATTCAAATCTTGCCTTTACATGTTTATGAGATGGAGTAACCTCGTGTAAATCTTTGCTTTTATATTTTAGGCCAGCTCCATGCTACGAGCTTCATTTGCTATCGACCAACAAAAGTATGTTTTTGGTATTGTTTATTGAACCTAACATTCGATTTGGTAGGGTTTTTTTGCAAAAAAAAAATTCCATAAATTGCATCATCACATTGTCAAAGTAGTGCAGATCCACGAGGCAAATCAGACAATGTGATGACGAAATTCATCGTCAATAAGAGGACAGACATAAAAAAACTGAGGTTAATTTGGTTATTTTTACACTAACAAAAAAGGAAAAAATCTAAAACGATAACAATTTCTTGTTTTTAGTGATCAAAACAACCAACAAAGAGAGAGCACGCTTGTTGACGACAGGCTATCTGTCTTTCCTTTCATTAATGATAAAAAATAGCCAATCAGCGCGCGAAAAATCTATAAGTTATTGTAAAATATCGAATCGTGAATCTTTGATGTCTTTTTTCTAGTTCTAAAGATGAGGAACAAGTTCCATCAACGGTATCATTAGACTTTGACAAGATTAAAAGTGATTTAACAAGTCTACCTGAACAGAGATTGGCATTCCTTCTTCAAGCTCTCAGATGGGTGAGTTATACTTTAGATCATTCAACCTGTTTAATTAGGAACAGTGGAGACAGTTGAGACACTAGGGAGAGCAATGTTACTTCTTGCGTCAACTGACAGTGGTGCAGATAAGAGATGTAAAAGAGGGCAAATGGTACAGCTAGGACAGTAAGTAAAGGTGGGAGAACTTCAGGGACAGTAAAGAGGGTGGGCGGCAGAAACAGGTAAACGTAGAAGAGGGCAAATGGGTGAAGGGTACGGCTACGACAGTAAGTAAAGATAGGAGAACTGCAGGGACAGTAAAAAGGGTGGGCGGCAAAAACAGGTACACGTAGAAGAGGGCAAATGAGTGAAGGGTACAGCTAGGACAGTAAGTAAAGGTGGGAGAACTGCAGGGACAGTAAAGAGGGTGGGGGCGGCAGAAACAGGTACACGTAGAAGAGGGCAAATGGGTGAAGGGTACAGCTGGGACAGTAAGTAAAGGTGGGAGAACTGATGGGAGAGTAAAGAGGGTGGGCGGCAGAAACAGGTACACGTAGAAGAGGGCAAATGGTGAAGGGAACGGCTAGGACAGTAAGTAAAGGTGGGAGAATTGCAGGGACAGTGCATAGGGTGGACGGCAGAAATAGGTACACGTAGGAGTGGGACAACTGGGGTAGATATGATGGCACGTCTGCAGAAAGATACATGTCAGAGAGGGCTGACATGGACGAATTGTTTCGGGAATGCTGATTTATGGAAACTAGATGTAACAGAATGTATAGCTATGCATACTATTGACGTTACTGACATATATGATATACCGAGATCTAATGTTTCCCCCGCATTTATTTAACTTCAGAGACTGACAAGAACAACAAATGATGAAGTCAGAGATGCTAGCGTAACAGCATATATCATACATGACTTGCTGGGGTTAACTGCGAGTCATGATAATAAGGTAATGGACTTTCTTAGCGTTAGCCATGTTGGCTGGCATATTAGATTTCCCCCGCCTGGCCTCGCATTTATACAAGCGCTTCAAGATGAGGTTACGCAAGGTTAACCAAAGGCTAGATAGATATATTCCTTTACTTAAATTATATTCTCATGTGAATAAACATGTCATGATAAAGGTATGTATGATAAAGGTCCATATCAGGAAAACAAATTTTTGCATTACGTTCGGCCAGTCAGATTATATACCGATGATCAACTACTTCTACGTACATATTATCACCGCCTTATTCATTGTGCTTTTCCGACTAAGGCTGTGATTTTCCATACATGTAGTCTTATCAAAGCTGCTCTATGCTGCTCTCATATACCTGTACTATATTTTCAGGATGGCGTACTAGACCTTCTCAACCACCACAGTGATACTGTACGACAGTACGCTGCTAGACTACTGAATGCACTGGCTTCATTCTCAGCAGGTTACTAAAGCTGCGTTTACACTAGCCTACTCCGCAGGCTACTCCGTATATTCTATATTCTCTGTTGGGATCCCTGTATAAAATTTTATGGCAGAGAAGAACTAGGAACGAGAGAGGAGGTAGACTCTTCCACAGTCTCTCGCTCGTCCGTTCCGTCTCCACGCTTAGAGACTGTAACGGTACAATAACCGAAAGGACTTATGGGTCCCGAAAACTTGGACCCAGCGTGCTTTGGGAACCAACATACTCGTCCACAGTCTCTCTCTTTTTCGCCGCCATCTTGAAAATATTGAAACGAGAGAGACTGTGGACGAGTATTTTGGTTCCCAAAGCACGCTGGGTCCAAGTTTTCGGGACCCATAAGTCCTTTCGGTCATTGTACCGTTACAGTCTCTAAGCGTGGAGACGGAACGGACGAGCGAGAGACTGTGGAAGAGACTAGAGAGGAGGAAGAGTGGCGACGAGGGAGGGAGGAAGGCCACAGGGGGCTCAAGGAGCAAAAAGACCAAGGAGATGCCTGCGAAGGAGGCTACGTTTACACGGTACCAGAGGAATTTTTAATCGGTTAAAAATTTGACCCATACATACCGTGTACACAGAACCATCTCTTTAATTGTATAAAAACATACGTAGCCAAAATAGTACGGCTAGGCGTACGAATTCTTGTTCGGATAGCTCAGTCCCATGTGAACAGATCCCCTAAAGTTGTATTTTCCACTAGCGATTTTTTTGCGATTTTTTTGCGATTTTGTCCATAATAAATAATGGTAAAGAATTTACTTGTAAAGTTTTTTTCAGGATACCAAGATTTTCCTAGACGAATGTCTCTTTTGAAGGATGAGACAAAAGATTTCATATATCCGAAAATTGCCACAAAAATTGCAGCAAAAATCGCCGCAAAAATCGCCAGTGTAAACGGGGCTTAAAGGTAAAACTTTTTGACCAGTTAAAGATTCGTCCATTACCGTGTAAACTCAGCTTAAGTGCTTTGTACTGGAATTGATTTAATCAATCCTTAATAATTCTTTATAATAATTTTCATAGCGAGTTCACAAATTCACTTTAATTCCAGCACAAATGTCTTTAGCTTAGGTCTGAGGATACTGAGTTATCTGTGAACTTCTTCCTTTTGTTTTACTTCGTAGGACGGACGTATTTCACTCAAGATTTTGATTTGGTATATGCTCTTCATGCTTCTCTTATGGCTGAACCTAAAACCTCATTAATCAGTGAAAATGTTCTGGGAACTTTACAAAAGCTCAGCCTCAGGTACATTCTATACCAGGAATTTGTTTCCACATTGTTATGTTGAAACCTCATTAATCAGTGAAAATGTTCTGGGAACTTTACAAAAGATCAGCCTCAGGTACATTCTATACCAGGAATTTGTTTCTACCTAATATGTCCTTGAAGTCTCATATGATACTTGGTAGCTCAGTGGTTAGAGCATGGCACCGGAATCGCCGGGGCACGGGTTCAAATCCCGTTTAAAACTCTTTCAATTTGCAGCTGCATAAGTTGCTTCATATACTGCGAGGATCAGCTCAATTCGATACATTACAACAGCAGTACAAACATATATTTCATATATAGTCCCATACACATATGTTTCCACTTCTTATTTTGATTTTTTACCTTGCGCACGTATAGACGACCCCTTGCATATGACGTCAAAGAAGCTTAATCTTGGGGCCAAAATAAAATTATATGTTCAATTGTTTTGACTCCCAGGTAGGGATTTAGTGCAAGGGGTCTATTAGGGTGAAAAATGTTTCGTCTTTAATTTCAGCTTCGAAAAATTGGACTCGAAATGCGCGTGCAACTCTCACGTCTTTACACTGAAGAAGGTCTGAGATCGGACCGAGACGTCTGTGCAATTTGTGTAGAAAAATAAGCCAGAGTCAACTAAACTAATTAGAATCATCATGAATCCTGGCTACAACTTTTACAACCAAATCAGTTGTTATCCGTTGATGGATATAGCAACCCATATTCTGTCTAAACCCGAGTTTACTATTTTTGTGTTAGGAGAAAGCTCCAGACTGTCATGATAAAGAAGGGTCTGATCCAATGGCTGGTTAATCTGCTAGATGACCATGATTCCTTGTCAGATTACACACTAGAATATTCCGTAGCCCTTCTAATGAATCTGTGCCTCAGATCGTCAGGTTGGTAGCAAGTTGTTGTGAATTGATAATGGGATGGGATTGATTGGGAGAATGGAAAGATATTCTCTAAAAGATATTTAGAAAGAAAAACAAACAAACAAAAAACAACAACAACAACGAAGATGCCAGAACCTGTGGCTCAGATTTTTTAATGCCAAGCTATTGTGAATAGACAAATTATGCGATGGGAAATGGAATGGGATGGATTGGGTGTATGGAAAGATGTGAAGGAACATGTTAGGAAGAACAAATATGTAATTCTAAACTAAATGTATGAATTTTATATCATCGTTAAATGAAACTATTGGCAATGTGTGCGAGAAAAAGTTACTGCTGTAGAAAGATGGATGTAGCAGAATGATAGTCCAAAGGGTAGATGATGTATTGTTCGCGATTTCTCTCCTCCAGGTAAGAGAACGTGCATACCCAACTCAGCGCATGTACTCAAGGTTTTGAGTGACTTGTTGGGACACGAGAACCAAGAGGTAATCGTATATATCAATTGACATCTAGAGGTGATGGTGGCAATAATTATGCGATAGCTGGATGGATGGGTGGGTGGATGGATGGATAAATGGATGGATGGATGGATGATATGAAGGTGACAGAAGTATATGGTGATGTTGGTAGTGTTGTAACGGTGGTGATGATAATGATGGTGATGATGGTGATGGTGACATTTATGGTGATGTGGGTAGGGATTGTAACAGTGATGTTGATGTGATGATGGTGATGATAGTGGTGATGATGATGGTGGCGATGATTGTAACACTTGTGGTGATGTGGGTAGTGATTGTAACAGTGGTGGTGATGGTGATGATAGTGGTGATGATGATGGTGATGATGATTGTGACACTTGTAGTGATGTGGGTAGTGATTGTAACAGTGGTGGTGATGGTGATGATAGTGGTGATGATGATGGTGATGATGATTGTGACACTTGTGGTGATGTGGGTAGGGATTGTAACAGTGATGTTGATGTGATGATGGTGATGATAGTGGTGATGATGATGGTGGCGAT